GCTAATAGGTAGTGTAATGGTATAGGTATGACCGATTGGTTGTGTTTGTTGCTATTAGTGATGTTGTTCTTGTAGTGACAGATCCAGAGGGGAAGCGCTTCGGTTTTCGGCTTCCCTTGAAAAAGTGTGCTGGCACTTCTTCTTCTCGACACGATGGTGCTGTTGCCGCTATCAGTATTGACGACCGATGACTTTAACAGCAGTAGCGACTTGCTGGTAGCAGCAGTCGCTGTTCTTGTTGTTGCAGCGGTAGCACCGACTGGCTAGTGGTAGCGGTCGGCTTTTCTTGTTCGTCTTGTCGCCGTAGCGGATGGCTAGTGGTAGCCACCGTTGTTCTTGTTGTCTCTGTGGCGGTAGCAGTAGTAGCGGTCGTCGTTCGATCAATCGTTGACGGGCTACTCTTGTTCTTGGGGTCGACCGGCTATGTAACAGCGGTCGTTGTTCTTCTTGATAGTAGCGGTAGCAGTCGCTCAATCGCTTCGGTCGTCTTGTTTTTGGCTGGTGGAATTGCAAAAACTCGCAAATTCACTCTTATTCAGCCTGTTGCCGACGGATGCAATGGCGTTGTTGCCGCTTTTCTTTCAATTTTGTTTGAACGTGCCGATGGATGCAACTCGGTTCCTGTTGCATTTGAGGACTTGCACTCTTCAGGGCCTGTCAGTGACAGTATAGTAGCCCACTTCTGTGTGTGACAGTCCTTCCGTAGGACCTGTCGTTGTCGAGTAATCGGCCTGGTAATTTGGCTTGTTTCGTGCCGCAAAAAGGTTTGCACCTCTTCTTTATCGGCACTGTTTCGATGGGTTGATAGTGAGGCTGGAGGAACTCCCACGGAAGTACCTCTGTGGTTCCTGTTGGAACTTGTTATCTCGTTCCTCTTCCGGTTGACACAACTTTGCTGTTAGTGTCGCTCCTCTTGGCTTGCACGGCTTGTCTGCTCTCCGTAGCTCTGGCTCCAGCTTATACTGGAAGCCTTGTGGCTGCTCTTGTAGTTGATTTTCGTATTAGCACTGGGATAGTGTATCTCCAGTCATACGATGGCTGTGTTCCGCAGCACAAAGGTCTTGGTGTTTGCTCACTCCTGTGAGCGTGCTTCCTTGCAATTCGGCTCACTCCTGTGAGCTCGCTTCGGGATGACACTCCTCGTCGTGTCACTCCTGTAGGCTTCGTACGACCACTTGGTTCCGTCCTGAGCTGACCGGAGCTCCTTGCTCCAACTCGATTGGATGTATCTCACTCAATTCCTGTTGGATTTACTTCGTTCAAGCATAGAAGTAGTGTAGTTAGTAATGTTCTTTCAGGCGGTATACTTGGATTGCGATGATTCGGTCGTCTTCAGTAGGACCAATCGCTCCGTCGTTTCACGGTTTCGTGGTGTTGCCTTTTTCCGTCGTTTCACGGTTTCGTGGTGTTGCCTTTTTCCTGCTAGGCTGTTGGGATAGCTCTCTTGCTGAGGCTAGAGCCCTTTTTGCCTGAGCCGTTTGCTACACCTTTTGCTCTTTACCTTAGCTTGGGATCATATAGGATTGACTTGATATCGATGTCGTCGCCATTCCCATGGCAAGATCACGACGAGTTGATCTTCTTGGAAATAGTGTTGGTTGCTAGTAACACTCTAGCTTAGTAAAGGTAAAAGGTAAAATACTGTTTTACTGTTAAGCTATTTCCAAGAAGTGATCTTTCTCCATGTTTTCTGGGATTGATTCAACTTCAAAGGATATAGTGAAGGGGTGACCAGATAGATCAGTTAAACTCCCCATGTATGTAACTAGAGAATAGATATAGATATCCCCTATCAACTAGATTGGGATAAACGACTAATTTGTATTGAGGTGTCTGTAATACAACCTCCAACACTATTCACAGGAAACGAGGGAGTGGACTGGCTACGAGAAAGTTTCTTTCCCTTGGGAGCGAAGAAAGCTTCAATATTGTCCTTTGTCAAATGAGCAGCACTGCCCTTCTCATGCTGGGCAAGAGGGGTAAGGAAATGCTTCTCGAGTCGCTTTTCTTCCACTTGGCAAGCTACCGTGTGCTCAGAAATGTCTCCGGCACCTTTGGTTTTTTTGTTCCGCTTACACTTTTTGTGGTGCTCTCTTTTGGGAAGTCGCAAACCCAAATACCTTGCGCGGCAAACTACACAGTCCTTAAAAGGATCGAAGGCAATTGCGCCCAGAAGAGTAGCTTGGACTTGATTCCTTGGTGTTGTCTTTGATCTCTTGGGTGCGTTGGATCCAGCAAGATCGAACGTCCTTTTCTGAAGTGATTTCCTTTGCTGACTCTGTCTGCCCATCTCTTCATTATCTGGCAATGAATCAGGCTGCTGCTGCTGCGGATTGTCTGGTGGGGTGTTGGTAGTCATGTTGAAGGCTTTCGACTTGGTGTTAATGATGATCTGTGTTGCGGAATGACCGTCGTTTTGCCATCTTGATCCAAAGAAAAGTCCGATGGAATTCAAGTTTTCGCTTCTGAAGAAAGGAAAATCCTTGGCTTGGTAGCACAGTGTCTCCACCGGTAATTGTCATGGGTGCGTCACTGTCACTAAGTACGATTGTGTCTTACTTGGTGTCTTACCTACTTTACGGTACTCCTCCACCAATCATACTCCTGCCTACTACCCCAGAAAATCGCCTGAAGATACCAGTACCGGAACCACGTGTCAAGACAAGCCATGGGATCTGTTTGGTACAGTACATGAAGGTAATTTGAGCAACCAATGGTCGGGGGACATGCAACTAACCAGCACTGTTTGCACGATGCCCTCGTTCCTAGAACTAGCGGCTTGGCAGGGGGATTTCACTCTGGGAATGCGCCTTGGGTGGCCTCAGAGACTGCATCAATGAGATGAAACAAGCAACGCTCATGTTGCAGAAGTGTAACAATTCCATGGCAACATTGGGACCAAATCTGGGTACTCTGGGACATCTTCTGCCATCGTTTAGTCGGGGCTTCCTTATCCATTTAGCTCCCTGGGGACGCGTTACGAGGTAAGGTTGAAGCACTCGAAAAAGGCGACGGAGCCTTAGATCAAATGAAATAGTCCTTGGCAGCCATTGACGTAAACACAGCCGAGGCTACAGAAGACAGTGATAGAGGAAATACTATCCTCTCCGAAATGCAGAAGAATGGTTTTTAGCGAGGTCAACACGGTCATCAAGTCATGTGTCCGCGACTGGCTCGTACAAGTGGGCTTTGAGCACACAAACAACGTTCTAAGTGACCCAAAGCGAGAACTGAATAGAATACTACATGTACTGACCGGACAGTACATGTACTAGTATCCAAGTTTCCAGCACTCTACATGTAGATCCTTCCATGCCGGTGTATCGCAGCCGCTTGCATCTGGAACCCGTGGCAACTCCTGGATCAACAACATCCGTCTATGACATACTGTAGCTATAGTACCGGTGTTACCCGTCGAGGTGCAGAAACCTGTCGTACTGGTGACTGGCGTTTGAAGATTTCTTTCGCTACGGAAAAGGTCCAAGATTACATGAATGCCGGTCGCGTCAGTCGCCTGCACTTCTGGTAGTACGTAGTGAAGGCAAGCAAACGCTACGACCCATGAGCGATCTAGCTAGCTACTAGATGTGCAAGCAAACAGATTGAATGATTTATCCTCAACGCTTTTTTGATTCCAAAACAGGAGCGAAACCAAAGCCGGATATCGCAAAGCCATCCCTTTTATCAAGCAAATGCTGGATGCTGCTTCTGCTCTACCGGTACCAGCCGGCTTGATGAAAACATCTACATGTAGTTTATCTTGACACTTGACAGCGCGTTGTCAAGTGTCAAGGAGTCCAAACGCAGATACAGGAGTTACAGTACGGTACAACTAACTGTAGTCTTGAGACTTGAGAGCTATCCGTGGTTATGCATAGTTAAGCCTTCGGACGTCCCAGAGACAACTAAATCCGTAGCTGACCTGTATCTTTCAGTCTCGCGGTTAGGATCTTTTCCAGGTACAAATTCTCCCGTTAGATTTCGGAGTTTACACAGCGGAGTAGGAAGGACAATCACACGTTTGAAGCCGGTCTAATAACATCTCCTCAAACTATAGGTTTGGTTTTGTTTTCGGGTTCGGGCTGTTGCAGCCTCGAATGTTTGCTTGTGGAACAATCTCCAGGCGGCACCTGTAGCCTCTGTTATTTTCGACAAGAGCCACATGATGCCCAAGGTTGATTTACCAGGTACGGTACCAATATGCTCCGCAACGTACGGTACCCGTACCGGTAAGCCCAACAATGACAAGATGGTGGACCCTGCTCCGTGTCAACTATCAACGCAAGCAAGCATCCAAAAAGGTTGGATCCACACACTTGAGCCATTGGCAAACGTACCGTACATGTATCAATTTGAATTGTCGTGCTGCAATACAGGGAGCCCTATTCCGTTAGCTTCCTTCCGGTTACAGTGTATTCTGTCCATGTTGCTCTGTGGGTGAATGACATCACTTTGGATACAAGACCAGACATCAAACCATGCCACTTAGGCGGCAACAACGGCGAACCACTATTAGACTTCATTGTTTCTGAAAAGAAGGCAGCTTTGAAAATTTCGGCTACGTCACGAGAATTCACAGCTGATTTATTTCTCAGAACGGGTTGTGATTCGCTGCTTGCCTTGAACACATCGATGATCGCAGTAGGTGGCAGAAACTCGTGGCATTGCGTGGTTCCTCACATTTTGATCTTTGGAGGACACGGAAGACACCGCTACAGGAAGTCTTCCTCATAACAAAGAAGAAAACATCTTCTTCAAGGAATCAACAGTACTGGCATTTTCTTTGACACAAGCAATCTTCTCCTCAGGAAAAACCATGGCTACCCAAATTGCCAAGCAGTCGAATACAATGAAGCAGGCAACCGCCTCCCATCATCCCAACTACGCAGGAAGATACCCTGCTGGAAGCACTCTTCCTATCACCATTTCCAAGAATGGTAACAAACACGTAAGATCCTCGTCTTTGTTCACATCAGGTCATGTCTACCGCTGATAATGACATGCGGAAGTTAACCTTAACCACGCCTCTTTCCTTCTATCTATCTATGTTGTGTCGTCTTGGAACGCTGACATCGTAGATTCGCCAACTTCCCACTGGAGGCACTCAAGAAGTGCTATCTGTTGGATTGGCGTGCTCGGAATGCTTTTCTGGTCCTCGCCTTGCAAATCTACTGAAAGCAGGATTCGAATATGAGCAGAAGGTCATGGAGCAGCTCATGGCGGGAGAGTTTGCAAATCCCCTGTCTACCCACACATCCGCTGGGGTGTCTCCTGAGCTTGATGGCTTCCTCGAGGCCATGGCGCATCACTTGCCTTGGTCAGAGGAAACTCATGAAGGTTTCAGCAACAACGACTGGTGCTGTTCATTGCAGCTCGAGGGAGCCTCGGCCGTGTGGGCTGCCGTTGATATGCTTCTTCAAGAGCAAATGTTGTCCAGTGGCAACAAGTCTCGCAAAAAGGTTGCCGTTGGTGCTACATCGTATCACGGGCCGCCGTCTACCAGTTTCGGAGCCAAGTCTCCCCTCTGGACCAAGACACACCAATTGGCTTACCCTGTTCCAACGCCCCAGTCTTGTGACGAGGAGGCTTTGATCGACCAATTTGACGCCTTCTTGGATAACCACGGTCATCAGGTCGGTGTCATCCTCATGGAGCCCCAGTGGGGGTCCTCCCAGGCTGGATTGCCCTGGCCCAAGAGCCTTCTCAAAACTTACATTCAAAAGGCTCAGGCTAGGGGTATCAGAGTGCTGTGTGATGAGATCATGTGTGGAATGGGGCGTCATGGAAACGGTTCTTTGTTTGTGTCCAAGGACTGGGACCTCAACCCTGACGCCATCACCTTTGGCAAGGCCATTGGCGGTGGTGTATACCCCATTGCCGGCGCTATTGTTAAGCGTGGCAAGTCTGTGTTGCAGGCTAACAAGTGTTCGGCTATGCAATCCCATACCTATGCTGGTTCATCAGTCAGGGCACTAATGACTGCGACGGCAGTCTTAAACGAAGTGCCTCAATGGTTCGGCACTATCGCCGAGAAAGGCAAGGAGATGCGAAACATCTTCGATCGACTTGCCAAACGTTCTGATGGTCTGCTGTTTGGGCACGGACAAGGTCTGATGTGGGGCTGCCTTTGGGGCGCTGCAGGACAGAACGCTGACCCCAAATACCGCGCTCAGAGCGTTCAGGTGTTCAAGAAACACTGCAATACACTTGGAGTCTTGCCATATTTTGTACCCAATGGCGGCTTCATGGTGACCCCATTGTTGGACGTTGAAGTTGATATGCTTCACGAGATGGCGGACAAGCTTGAACAGGCCTTGGTCCTTACTATGAACGAAACTAAATGGCACGGCCTGAGCGCTTCCAAGGCCGACGAGATCTCCCACATTGTGCCAAGTTTCAAAGAGTCAGTCGCGGTGACCGCTGCTCCAAGTCGCGGTGCTTAGATTGATGATGGACAACACGCGACAAGCTTTCACTTCCCCACAACCACATGCCCACGAGGTTCATTGACGCACTCGGGTGACGAGGTTCATGGACGCACTCACGTGTTGAAGTCGTTCTCAACTGGCGCCATCTTACAGCACATCTAAACAGACTCGAGAACACATCATGACTGCTCTCTCGAATTCACGCTGACCTGCTTTGGCGTGGCCCGTTCTACATTCATTACATAGATAAACCTAACGATGGGCGGTGGGATCCGTGTGCAAAAGGCACACTTTCCCCCCTTCTGGCTTGACTGTTCCTTGGCCATGAAAGCGACGCTGGATTGGCCACTGCTTAGATTAATTCAACACTCTTTAGATAGTACAGTTTTGTTTATTGACTTCTCGCGGAAGCGGATTCGTACAATCGTTCCACCCGTCGATCGCATTGAGTGTGTTCAGGTGAGTTGACGTATTGATGGGGTGAGCACAGTTGAAGCTGTGATGAGGTGAGCAACAACTTCCACTTCCGCAACAGAACATGCCACGTACACGGAAGTTCTGAGAAGAGAGGGCATTCCTGCCTGACACCTACCGGTACTACAACATTCTTGTCGTTGTTCCGCACAGCTGAAGACACATCAAACACATCCACCGCATGCTTTCAGGTACCACAGTGGAATAGCTATAAAGCTAGCTGGCCAGATAGCTAGTTATCCAGCTAGCTAGCGGTCCAACAGATGCAGTCCCTTGAGACTGTTGAGCCGTCCCTCCAGTTGCAACATTTGTGGAAAGTAACTCACTCGCTCCTGCACGAGATTTTTCAGCGGCAACAACTGAGCAGGGTCTCGAATCCGTCCCGTTTGCACAATGGCTCGAAACCAGACAATCAATTCGGCAACTCGCAGCGGTTTGCTCGCAAGACGGGTTGTCAACTTGGTCAATAGCGTATTGAGCGACTGGTCACTGAGTCCTTCCACAGTTTGCTGGAGAATTTGAGTGTCTTGTACACCCAATGCCAATTCCAAGAGACCATCGTTTCCGCCCTGCAAGGCTTGGGTCAATAGTTCCGACAAGGACTCGGTGGTGGCTGTTTGACCAAAGTTTTCCTTGTGGGTAATGATTCTTCCATCGGGAGCATGTCGATTAAAGTCCACCATGTCATCGAGGGCGTCTTCTTCTTCCATGACCCGTGTGAGTTGCTCAAGTCGATCGGCAATGCTGACCCCAATCGTTTCGGTTGGGTCGTCGTCGTGTGCCTCTTTATCGCCCTCATTATCGTCCTCCTCCTCCATGTCCTCATCGTCGTCTTTCTTGTTACTACTATCATCTCCACTGATCTTTCTCTTTTTGTTGCGTGGTTGCGTTCCTTCCGACACGGTAGTACTCTCTGTTCCCGCTTGCCCTGGGCCCAGGACAACCATGCTTTCCTTGGAACGTTTGGCGGTTTTGTTGTTGTCCTTGTCGTCCATGTCTTTGGTTGGTTCTTGCCACTGAATGGTCAACTTGTCGTCGTCATTATTATTGTATTCGACCGTCTGCACTTGCAAAGAGCCTCCTTTGGCCGTGGGATTGTGCAAGACGGCCGTCATGTCGTCGCGAGAACCGGGTAGCAATGCCACGGGATGATGGCATTGAATTTTGGAAATCAGTTCGGCCTTACCGGACGAAAATCGGTACACTGCCTGACTGCCGACAACGATGTGAACTTGTTGGTCCTGTTCCCACAATCGTACCGGGCCTTTTCCGCCTGGCAGTGGTTCCAACCATTGTTTGGTGTTCCAATCAAATAGTGCGATCGACGTCAAAGTGGGCAACACCACCAAATTGCGACAGGTGTAAATTCCTCCCGGACCCCCCTTTTGTTTGTACTTGTACTTTTCCAGTTTGGCACCCGTTTCGGCATTTAGCACACGAAAGGCTTCCTTGGGACTTCCGTTTCGTACCAGGAAGGATTGTTGGTGTACCGCCAATCCGACGACGGGTCCTTCTCGTTTTCCCACTTTGACTTTGCGCAGTAGTCGTCCAGATGTGGGATCGTATTGGTGAACTTGTAATTTTTGATTAGTATTGTTGGAAGCGCCAACGCCCACGAGCAAATAGATGCGACTATCGTGGCAGGTGACGGTCAAAATGGACTTGTCACTGTCACAAGTAATTTCATGAGCAACGACACCACCTCGTTTCAAATCCCAAATCAATACCGATTGGTCGGTAGTTTGGACAATGACGTGATCATTGCCACAAAAGCAAATGCGAGCGACGGTCTTGGCTTTTCCCGTCGTCAAGGTCGTTTTGAGTGCGCGCGTTTCCACTTGGTAGATTTGAATCGTCAAGCGAGATGTCATGGGTAGCACGGCGACTGCCACGAGACTGCCATCGTGTGATTGGGAGGCAAGGAGTTGTGGAGAGCTGCTCATGGTTGGATGGATTGGTTGATATTCTTTGAGGATCCGACAATTTATTATTAAAAGGTTGAGTAGTGATAGATGTTTGCAAAGAAGCTATGGTACCAACTCTTTGGCATACCGTAGTCAACCAAAGGAGGCAGAAGGGATGACAAAGAAAAAGAGGGAGGGGAGAAAAAGAAAAGGGTGGACGATGGGATCCAGCTTCGCTGGCTGTAATAATTAAGATCCATGCGCGGCACCGCGCTCTTTGGGATCCATCTATTATCCCCCACACAACACCGTTCATCATTATTTTCTCACTCTTTGTTCTCAAAAAAGTATTACAGACATTAGCTACCAATCATCATCACCACCATGTTCTCTTCGATTACCAGCAAGGCATTGCGGTTCTCTGCAACCGCTGTTGCTGGAGGCATTAGCAAGAATTCAGTGTTTTGCTTTTCCACCCTCACCGGAACCGTCAAGTGGTTTGATACCCGAAAAGGGTTCGGTTTCATTGTCCCAGATAACGGCGAGGATGATGTCTTTGTTCATCAAACTTCCATTCATTCCGAGGGATTCCGATCACTAGGGGTATGTGCATGACATAGTATGATTGATATGATATGTGGTGGTATTGTTTCTTTTCTTGCAGTACAATATCTCACTTGGCTCTTTTGTTTGCTGTGGATGGTTTGATATATTTGTTTGGTTGGTTTAGGAAGGGGAAGCTGTGGAGTACACTATTCAAGAAGACCCCAGTGGACGCATCAAGGCAGAACGAGTGACTGGACCCAATGGTGGATTTGTACAAGGAGCACCCAGAAGAACGTTTGATTCAGGATTTGGAGGAGGCGGTTTCGGTGGTGGCGGCGGCGGCGGCGGATTTGGCGGTATGTAAAATAAAATCAGGTTTTTGTCCTGTTGATATCTTTTATTAGCAGAAGGTAGTGGAGGAGAATTTCTCATGATTTGTCTTGCACAAACTATTCTCTTTCTAGGCGGTGGTGGCGGCGGCGGTTTTGGCAGCTACGGTGGCGGCGGTTCTGGATTTGGCGGAGGTGAGTTTGGTTTTGACAATATAAAGAAATGAGATTTTGTTTGGCTCTTTGGTGCAGGATGACTCAATTATTTGAATTGATTGTAAAATTCATTGAATACATTATAATGATCAGGCGGCGGTGGATTTGGACAAGGAGGAGGAGGCTTTGGAAGCGGCGGCGATGGTGGTGGATTTGGCAGCAGTGGAGAAGACAACTCACAGTTTGGCGCTGGCGAAGTGGCTCATGATGATTTGGATACACCAGCAGGCGCGGCTGCTACAGCGGCAACACCCGAAGAGAAAAAGTAGACTCTAGATGGATTGGATGGATGGTGGCCCTGATCTTCTTAAGACTTGACAATGACACACTGCACACATGCTTCAAGGAAGCTACTGGCTTTTTCATGCGTACCATAAAAAATCAATCAGCAACACACCAATGGCTAGGAACCATCTCAACACATTCTGTCTGGTGACATAAGTTACTAGCGATTCGCCAAATAATTTCTAGAGCGATTTGTACAGTCGTTATCTAGCTTAGCTCGTAGGCGTGCTAACCCTTGTGCTCGATGTCGGCGGTTGGAGTGGAGAAAGTCCCGGCCCAGGCCATAGAAGTGTTGAGTACGAAATGAACTGACGACAGTCGGATTGGCAGAGTCGTTGACACCCTCCCTGTTGTCGGCCCCTTTTCGTTAGGGTCACGCCTTACATTTTTCAATTCGAATCTTCTGTTGTCACACGTTATTCCGCTTTCAATCGCATTCGAAGGGCGTTGCGGCGTGTTCGGCATCTCTCACAATGGAGGCAATGGCACCCGAGGTTCCCAAAATGCAGAACAGGGGCGTAAAGACCAGCAAGAAGAGGCCACCAATGACGGTCGAGTGATTCAAGCCTATGCTAGCGCCCTCCCGTCTATGCACCGCCCAATAAAAGGCGACGGGCCAACCAAATACGGTGGGAGCCCCAAAGAGCGATCCGATCAGTGCTTGCACGTCGGCAAAGAAGGGTATCAGATTCCCCACTACGAAACCAAACACCAAGAATCCACAGGTTACTATCAACCAGTGGAGTGTGCCTTGTCTCCCCGACGTTTGATACGTTTTGGGGAACACAGTGGCATGCAACCACATGTGGAGGGGTTGACCAGCAATCACATAGGACACGCAAATGTGGAGGCAAACCAGCGACCCTACCACTTTGCGAGCTGTTCCCGCTGGTAATATGTCGGGTAGGAACTCTTCTGTGGAAGCTCCTCTCAATCCATAGGCTGCTATAACGGTAAGGCCGTACATGACACACATGAGCATGTAGGCCGATGTGCAAGAATAGGGGAAGTCACTGGCTTGTTTCATTTCGGCCATGAGTTCCAAAAAGATGGCGTGACCTTGATAGGCAAAAACAAAGGCACTCAGTGCTTCCAAGAATTGGAGTGGAGTGGTACCGGGTGGAGGCCACAGTGTCGTGGTGTCTCCAAAAGTCCCATCAGCAGAAGACAGCAGATTGCCAATGATGATAAAGACCATGACAATAATAGCACAAGTTGAAGGTCCTGACAAGTACTTGGAAATGGCATGAAAATCTCTGCATTGGCAGGGCAGTATCAGCAGCAAAGAAGCAATAAGAGCGCGCTGATAGTCACACTGGAGGCCCACAATGTCATGAACGGCATCAGCCGTAGCAATCAAATAGTAAATGGCAGTGGCGCCCCAATTGAGCAACATGGAAATTTTTGTAATGGTTCCAAATCTCTCGCCTAACAAGGAGCTAGCTGCTTCGGCAAAGCTGTGCAAGTTGGGATGTTTCTGATGGACACTTGCTAACAGGTATCCCGAGTAGGCTGAGAAGGCCGCAAACAGAGGCACAGAGACAATCACACAAACCCACCCCAAGGTCTTGGCCGCATACGGCAGCGAAAGAATTCCCGTTCCCATGACTTCTGACAATAACACAATGGCCGTCAGGTACCACGGCGTTCGGGCAGAACCTATGGTGTGATGCTCACTCTTGTCCATGTCATTCTCGTCATGTTCATCATAGAATTGGTCGTCTTCTTCGCGTTCAGAGTGCCGCCCAGAACTGCTGCGCCGCGTCAGCTCCACATCTCCAGTAGTGTCGACTCGATGATGTCCTTTGGGATAAGTAGTGAAGGGGTCGTCGTCATTGTCGTCTACCAGTTCTTGGTCTTTGTCGTCCACCATCTTGTGGGTTTGAAGCTGTGAAGCTCTTGTTCTCTGTTGGCCTTTACCCTTGGCCCTTTGGGGGAGTTCAGGAGTTAAATCTTTCAGCCATTTACACATTAATTCTGGTGGTACCGGTACCAAAGATCTAACTAAAACGTCGCTATACTCCTCACTCATGATTAAGATACTAGTAAATAGATTTTTAAGTCAGCGGGAGCTGCGATACCTCGGCAGAAAGACAGATAGAAGAAGCATGACACATTTGAGATTGCACCCTTCTTTCAAGGTAGCCCTGGCGACAACACCCGACTTCGTCGTGTGTTGCCGCCCAGTATCATTCCCTCATTATAACCTTCTTTTTTATTTATGCTAGCCCTGGCGACAACACCCGACTTCGTCGTGTGTTGCCGCCCACGATCATTCCCTCATTGTAACCTTCTGTTTTATATTAAGCTAGCATTGGCGTTGCCACGGGCTAATCCATAATTTACAGCTATCATTCGATCGTGTAACTCTAAATTTACAACACCTGCTGGCTTATTGTATTTTTGTCCTGAGTGCACTAACCTTAAATTACATTGATATATTCCTACCCCTAACTTTATTGAACCTTCAATTCACCTCGGTTCAAAATGGATGAATTGTCTTTTAAGGTCTGGCCGTGGTAGGGCAACAAATGACAATTTTATACCTTTTTTTAGTGCATTTGTGTCAAAAAGTCGAAAATTGGTACTTATCCCCACCATAATGGGGCAATTTCAAGAAAAACCCAGTGTAGCGACGGCCAGACCTTAAAACACATCTGAACCGAGGTGAATTTCCAGTTTTGCCAGCTTACATTATCTCTATCCTTATACCCTGGCTTCACCGGAATAGGGGATCCCACAGACAGGAAATGAGGGGGGTCCCACAGACACAAAACGAGGGGATCCCACAGACAAAAACCAGGGGGATCCCACAGACAGACTATTTGCCATTAAAGGGGTAGAGGACTCAGGCAGTTAACCTGCGGAGGTTAAAAGATACAAAGCTACCGGTACCGGTACCGGTACCGGTACATGTACGGTATGATACGGTACAGTCGTACTAGCGAGAAGCAGCTTTTTGAGTTTGCGGCCTCATTTTTTAAAAATTTATGTCATAGATCCAATGCTGTGGAAGTGGAGACTGTGTGCATCCTTATTCCGCCTTCTCATTTCAAGTCGTCCCTGTTGCTGGACGACCAAGGCGCTCCTCGTCAACCAAAGCAAAAGCAGCACATCCATACAGTAATCCACTGCAACCATGGCATCTGGGGGGAACGAAGCTGACGACGACCGCTGGGATGGTATCAAAGATGTTGAAACTTTGGCAAATGTTTTCTTTGAAGAGCCAAACGGAGGTTTTCGTCCCTACCAAATGGATATCGCCTGGACTCCTGTCGGCGGCGAAGATGAAAGTTTTGTCGGTGTGGACGCCAGTGGACAAAGCCCCCAGTAGCTCCCCAGTTCTGTGCAAAAGGATTCCTTCATCGATTGCGTGAAGCGGGCCGTGAGGCCGAAAAGCTCAAAAACCTCAAGATTCGGTACGTTCTGTCGGATCGCATGTGGCCCTATGCCACCATGCACATGGTGCTTCGGGCATTTTGGGAGAATAATGGTGGCAAATGTCCTACAGTGTACCGTGGAACGAGCCGTTCTGAACAAAGAAGAAGGGATTCTGGATTTTGATGTAACCTTTGGTAGTTCGGTGAACGGCAGCGACGAAAAGTTCTACACCAACAACATTGATTTGAAACAGTAAGCCGTGCCGTGGCTGCTGAGATCCAAATGTTGTTCCGTGAAAGCCGTTGCTGTTAAGAGGAAAACTGTATCCGTGTGCTTCGGCGGGTTGCTTTGCTCGAGAGGGATCTGTTGGCTGGTGTGCATACGTGTTGGTTGCACTGCGGGAATTCGATTCTAAGTCCACAATGGGGTGAATTGGGCCGGCCAAAAGTCTTCGGGAAACACGACATTGGTAGCATATACACCAGTGTCGTCCGTAAACGAAAAAATAGTGATTGTGAGAACCTAGATTCTTTGCTTTGACACGTCATGTCGAAGATCCCTCCAGGACGTCTGAGACCTGAACTTGTGCGGAATATTGACGCAAGAAGATCTGCTTCACTTCCTCGGTTGTCATTGCCCAGTGATTCATTCGGCTATCTATTATCCAGTTTCAGGGGTGAGAGCTCGAAGCTGATACTACAGTACTGCATCGTTACGAAGACAAGGAGGATTGTTATTGGAATTATTCAAGTTTACACAATGTCGCCACCTGGAGGCGCAGCAGTTGGAGCGACGAAATGAAAAGGACCCATTTCCTTGGCTTCCAGGTACGTGTGGGCAAGGCATACAGTGCGCTCGTGAAGCACACCACCAACATGACACGGCCCCAAATCGATTTTCCCGCGAACAACGCTGTGGCCATTGAGCCAACTGGAATCCACAATGGTTGGGCCATTGATTGAAACGAGCGGGGCATCGTAGATTCTTTTGCCAAAGAACCAAAGGGGACCTCCGTTGATGGTACAACCCAGTCCCCTCAGTGCCAGATTTGCAAATGGTGTTCCCCACAACAAACAGGAAAAGGAAGGCTCCCAAAAATGCGCCGAAAAGACAAAGACAACAGAGTAGAGGGTCTTGCTCCAGGGAGTATCCTTCTTGATGTACATGACTCGATGCAACAAAGCGGCCAAAAGGTACCATGTCACCCCGTGCACTGCTAGTGCCAAGGCCAGCTTTGTGACTGGAAAGGAAAGGATGCTGTTGAATTCAACTCTTCGGAAGAACTCAAAAGTTGGCGACAATACCATTGTGCAGACTAGTCAATCTAAGAGATGTAAAGTTTGTATTTCCAAATAAGTGAGCAGTTATTGATTATTTTCTAGAATAAGCCTGCTAATTGTAAAGCTGTAAAGCTGAATTGTAAGCTGTATCCTCGCACTCCCTTACAGCTGAAATGAAGCTGGAGCAAGAAACGATAGGAGAGAGGTCCCCAGCAAAGTGCTGAGGTAATTACCATCCCATGAGGAGCTTTCGAATGACGCAAACTGTGGGCGCGGAAGACCCTTAGTGAATGTCGGCCCGTTGTTTCAGAGTCGGAATATACTTAGCCCCGATGCCCTTCGACTCCCCCATATTGGACGAAGAAGTGGTACTTCAAAGCAAATACTTGTTGCGCGCAGACATTGGGAACATTCACAAGAGAAAGGCAACCTTGGTTGTCTTCGAACACTGTAGAGCGCACGAGACTGTCAGTAATACGGCATATTCATTTGCTACACATTTCTTTGAGCAAAGCTCCATAGGAAGCAGCTCCCTCATTGACATGCTGAAGGCACATACTCAGCAGCAGTGAGCTCAAAGTAATGTCAGTCTGGAGCTTATTGGACCAGATGATGGGGCACCAAACAAAGTCAGGACAAACCAGTGCGAGACTTGACGGACACAGGATCCTGATCATCCTCATATCCATACATCCGGCGAAGTCAGCATCGACCCAACAATCAATCCCTGATCAAGTTTAGGGCTAAAAACAATGCCTTTGTCACTTGTGCAATCAGATACCGAATGATACGTTTGATTGGCTTGAGCATGGGAATGCCTGGGATTGTGACTGAATCGTGCCACTTGTGCACACTAAATGTGATGTCTGGGCGGAGTGTTGACGCAATATAAGCAGCATCCCAACTGCAGCTGGATAGCTCCACTCTTCTTCAAATGGGGCCCCAGTTTGTAGCTCCGAGAGGATCGGTTCGGCAGGAGAAAGCTTCTGCTAGCGTCAGACATACAGTATATTCGATGACTTTATCGATAAATGACTT